TTTTATTAAATTTATGTTTATAAATTATTTAAGAGAAATAAATTTAGCTAAGTGTTTGAGTTGATACGTTTTAAATCCGTTAAAAGTAACATAGTCGCGATATAGGCTGCGTTCGGGAAGCTCATTATTAGTGCTATTTAGCACTTTACTACTGTTCGGAGAGTTACTTAGAAGTGTTAAACTATCGTTACGTCATGTTGGTAGCATTTTTATTTTTCATAACTTCGCGCTATCAACGCTATCGCTTCCGAGATAATGCATTAGTAGCATTTGGTAGCGTTAGGCTGGATCCTCATACAGACACCGGCGCTTTGACACAGAGCACTAATTGACGAAAAATGAATGATGGGAGTAAATAGTACTTACTATTTACTCCCACTCATTTTCACCAATTAGCGTTCTGTGTCAAAGCGCCGGTATCTGGCATGAGGATCCAGTCTTAGCGTTTACCGCGAACAGTAGTTAATATTAGTTGAATTATCTGTTATCCCGAATTGTCTGTTAATCCGACGATTTTGTTTTTGCTAAATTTCGATAAAAAAATTTAAATTAAAAGATTAAAATTTAATTAAATTAATGTAATTTTTTTATTTAAAATTAAATTTTTAAATTTGCTTTTTGCATAATTTTCGATTCTCGGTATATGTCTTATTGGATTTATATTTTTTCTATTATTTCTAATTCTTCATCATCGCTTTCAGACGATGAAAAATCTATTAATTCTCGCACTGTAAGTGCTATTGCTGCTAATAATAGTTTTCTCGATCTTGCTCCATTTTGTCGTTTGATTAAGTTTGGAATCGATTATGCTTTTAAACGCTTAATGCTACGCTCACTATCGTTGTTCATGGAGTTCGCATTTGCTAGCGCTATTTTGGCTCCGTGAACAGAGTTGGCGTTAGCGTTAGCGTTGATAGCACGATAGCAAACTCCCCGAACGCACCCATAAGCAATCGTTTCGAATTTATAGATACATAATAATTTATAGATATATATAAATTTCAAAAGAATTATTAGACACCTAAGATCTACTCTACCAAGTAACGTCTTTTCTGATCTGTCAGTTTATTACATTGATTACTCATTTCATTTTAGAGTCATCCATCATATTTGAGATGTCTATTTCATCGCTTTTGTAAATTTTACACAAAATTAAAATCGTCGGAAATTCTAACAAAGTGAAACAAAGGACGAATGAGGAGTGTAGGAGGAATAAGGAGGAATATCCTGAAATGATTCGGCGGTTACAACAATGTTCTAAGGTTGCGATGTAACGGGGTTGCGCCGAATGATTTATCGCAATAAGATAGAACGGTCGCATTACCGAGGATGATCGGCAATTTTATCGTGAATGGACGCGTATATTCGTGGCACACAAGATATTCCGCTTTCGCACATATAAGATCCCACCATCAATCGCGCGCGTTCATAACATACGGCTGACGGGAAACATTCGTGCGCTGGCCGCATATCCAAGGTTGGATAGATCCCGATATGCAACATATCTCACGGGAGGGGGGGGGGAGGGGGAGGAGGTGCGGCGGCGGCGGCGGCGGCGGCGGCGGCGGCAGGGGTGACGGGGGCGTCAGTGAAGATACGATATTTTCCACTCTTTCAGACGGTGATCCGTGCCTGGTGAAGTATTGCGGCGCGGGAAGAGAGTGCCAAGTCTCCACGGACGACGGGGAGATCGTCGCCACGTGCGTCTGCGTTCGTAGATGCGCGCGGAGACATCGACCGGTCTGTGCGAGCAATGGCAGGGTGTATGTCAATCACTGTGAGATGCATCGCGCGGCCTGCAATGCCGACACGCCATTAACCACGCGAAGGCTCTCCAGATGCCTGAGCAATGGTGAGCACGTGCTGGACATCACGTCCCTCGTATTTTACGTAGCACAGAAATGTATTTTTTTGTTTTCCATATGCATGCCTGGAGGAAATTTCTCGTTGCCGGATCGACAACGGATCTTTCTTAAGATTACAGCGACCTTTGAAATTTTAATTAATTTGACAACCATGGGGATTCAAAGTAAAAAGAAGAGTTTACTCTGCTTTCTGGTCTCAGCAAAGAACCGTTGGTTATTTTGAATAATAAATTATTTTCTATTCGTTATAAAAATTTTTATCTCTTTAAATTCTTGATTAATATTAACATTGAAGGTTATTAAATTGTGAGAGAAAAAACGAAGCTTTCCTCCTGGCTCGAAATGAATTCTTATATTTTAGATTCTGGTAAAATAGAAGAGTTCAAGTTTATCGACCCCAGAGCATGCATTGAACTATCTATATTTAATTTTAATTATCTATCTATTTAACTTAATTATATATAATGTAATTATCGGATTTGACTGTCTACTTAATTTAATTACGTAACAAAAATTATCAAAATCAACTCGAGATGAACGGATGAATAAAATTAAATTGATTAATATATTATTATATAGTTATTTTCAAGATTTAATTGTAAATTATTAATATAATTGGAATCTTATTAAAAGCAGGATATGTTATAGTACATTAATTGATATATAATTAATCGCTATCTTTTTCTAGTCTAACATTTCAATTAATCGGTAGATCAAATTTACAAATATAATAGCATATGAATTTTATGGAACACATCAAATAAAAATTATCCAAATCTTTGCCAATACTTTTAACTTTAATTCATTGTTTACTCTGAGAGGAAAAGAAATCATGATCTTTAGGAAACTCTAACAAAACTTTGGTTTCATTATGAACTCAATAATAACTTCGAAGTTTTCTATTAATTTATGGCAGCCTCGCGGCTGCCCAGTTTGTTAAGAGTAGCGACAAAAAAAAAAGATGTCGTTACATGGAAACTCGAAGTTTATGATGGAATGTTCCATCATTTCCAGGTAATTACAGCGCGCAGGCACGGAAAGATTTCTTCGCGTATCATGCCTCGTCTAAAAACAAGAACATCCTGAACGCTAAGTCTAAGAATAAGATGAAGCATCATTCGGGGAGCAAATCGATCTTGCGAAAGAACGGTTACGGTATCGAGGAGTGTTCGGCGCAGGAATACGAGATCATGAAAGTATGTTATTGATTTCGCCTTCCAACACAATAATTTCCGATTTAGGACACAGAAAAGTTTAACGAGGGTTTCTCGATGGAAAGCAATCCCCTTGTCTTCTTGAGGTGCAAATAAATGACTTTATTTAGCATTAATATTCTCTGGCTATATTCAGAAATAGCTTTAATAAAGAAGAAGCTATCTATTACCATGGCATATAAAACAGAAACGCGTTTGAATTTGTTATTAAGCTACATGATACATGAATACTCTATCCCTCTTTTATCCCTCTTTTAGCTAGTTTTATTAAAAAACTTATTAAAGCATAATCGAAGTTACGAGTTATATTATTTTATCTCGATTCTATTTATCCACCGTAGGACAACTTGCTTCTGTACAGCCATGCCAGATTAATGGCTGAGGATAATCACAGTAAAGAATACTTGGTCAGCATCATGTTTTCTCACTACGACAGAAACAATGATGGCAATTTAGAGCGAGAGGAGCTCGTGCAGGTGATTTAGCTTTGAATATACTTTTCTCCGTATAATGTTTCTTCATTAACGTTTTCTTCCGAGTTTAACTAAATTGAAGAAGAAGCACTCGCAATGAGATTTATTTCATGACAGCCGTTACTTTAATGGCAGTAACATGATTTTTCCATTGCGCGAGCGTCTCGCGAATAATGTGCTTAAGCTCTTACGAACATTCAGATCGCCAAGGAAGAAAACATGGAAGAGTTATGTGCGGGATGCAACTTGAGCCACATGATTAGCTACGATGACACTGATGGTGACGGTAGATTGAACGTTAACGAGTTCTATATGGCTTTCAGCAAACTTTATAGTGAGTATCACTTACGATCCATTTTGTTTATCACAAAGGTTTTATTTTTTATAATTCGACGACGAAAATAGAGAGAGAGAGAGAGAGAGAGAGAGAGAGAGAGAGAGAGAGAGAGAGACGACGAACGTAAC